AAGAACTGGCTTTCAAAAGATGGCTTCACAAAAGAGGACAAAACATCTTCCATATTTTTTCAATTCCGTTTAAGACGGTAAATAAACATTCAAAAGAAAGCTTAGAAAATAGTACAAATGCTCTCATTTAAAATGCTTTTATAACATCCACTGTCAGGGGTGACGAAGATGCTGGTACTCGTTTCCAGCAGCCATTGGGCAAGAGGCTGAGTACACCCTGTCTGGTCACCAGTCCATCACAAGACAACCCACATGGACAGAGACGGTTGAGGACAAATTAGATCGATCTATCAGCCAAGCTTTCGGATTGTGTTAAAAATCACACATGCATAGAGAGAACAGGCAAACTCCATGAAGCAGGAACACAACCCAGGACCATCTCGCTGCAAGACAGCAGTGTGACAACAGCACATCTGTGCGGCCCGAGCCATGTGTAACTATATTTCTTGAAATTAACCATCTGGTTGTGGTTACTTACCCAACAAATTATGCCACCACTGCCTGCTAGCGTCTCCAAATGATGTTTAAAGAAAGCTGATGCGGCGTGCGCCACGATTTTGGCAGAGTCTGCATTGAAAGAAAAGGTTAGGCTTCAGTTTGCTGGCGGTCACCAGGACCGGGGGTGCTACTATAAAAGTCTGAGATGTTTTAAAAGGAAAGCAAACAGATGGTAGAGGAAAAATGTGAACTGTTGCGGTCACACATCTAATAGCCTTATGCAGGGAGTGACACGAAACTGGGTCATCTCCTCCCTTTTTTCTTCTGTCCAACTCTCCTTCTCTGTATCTTTGATCCATGTAAAGATCCTTGTCTTGTTTTATTTTCTTGCTAAGATTCCTTTTCCTCCATGTATCCTTCCAACGAGTTTAACACACAGTCAATTAAATCAGCTGCAGATATAATTTCCCCCCAATATTACTAACATTTATGAAAATAATTCAAAAGCAACATAACAAATTACTCCCTGTTTTTATTTTTATGCAAAAACCAAACTACAGAAGTTTATTATTCTTTGGCCATTTGATTCTCTTGTGCAGCAAATTACACACAGGAATGGTAGGAAAAAAATATAGGAAGAAAAAAAAATTCATAAGTTCAGGTGTTTTACCACACAAAAATGTATCCTACAACCACTGCATCTCTTGTGTTTAATGGTAATGGCATCACTGCTTCATTTGACATGAATCCCTCAGAGGATCTATGGCGTACTGTCAAGAGGACGATGGGAGACCAGAGCCAACAAAAGCAGAAGAACTGAAGCAACCTGGACTACTTCAACACAGCCACATGCCGACTGCCGCCACAAAACGATGCAGCAGTTCACACAGAGTATCTGAGTCTGTGCTCATACTTTTCAATAGGTCAATATTTCTGTATTAGAAATCCCTTTAATATTCAGCTGTAATCAAATTTTCTTGTAAACTCAATGTTACGATCATCTGTAAGCCAAAACTGGACAGCGATCAATTATTGAAAAACGTAATTCTGACTGTAGTAAATCCATTGGTTTGACTTAAAATTGAACTGAAATCAACAACTTGCTGAATCAATCTATCTATCTATCTATCTATCTATCTATCTATCTATCTATCTATCTATCTATCTATCTATCTATCTATCTATCTATCT